TTTATTGATGAAAAAATACGTGAGAGAGAGAGAGCAAGGGTATGTTCTTGGTAGTTATGAGAGATATAGTTGTGTAAGGCGTGTAGATAGACACCCCTCTTGTGGAAAGGACTTACAATTTATAGGCACAAAACCTTGGTTGAGACAGTGGTGTACAGAGATAGGTGACTAGTCATTCGGAGTGGATAGTTACAGTTAAAGATCGGTACACGCAGAAATAATATTGATCTTGAAAAGTGACTATTCCAGTAATTACTCTTCACGTACACTAATTTTCCTAGACTCCTTGAACTTTAGTTTGGGCCAAATTCATGAATTGGGCTTGACCTGCCTTGTAGCTAATTTGGGTTTATTTCATGAATTGGGCTTGACCCAAGTGGATCTGGACTCATCAAAATCAATAATTAAATTTCAGTTAATAACAAACAGTCTGCAAATTAAAAAATTCAACATTTAAAACTTAGAAATTCAGTTTTCAATTATTAATTTTATCAAACACTACCTAATTTATCCATTTTTTCATTTATCTTATCAAATATAATATTTTATATATACTGTTAACGTTTTATCTTTCAATTTTTTTTGTCATTCTAGCCAAAGCATTTGAAGTAACGGTGAATAATCCTTTTGGTGACATTTCAATGGTCAATGGTCAATAGTCCTGTTTTTAAAGTAAAGTAACCTAAAGAGTAAAGAAATTGCTTCTCAGCCGGCCCTGATAAACAACTAGCGTTCCAATTAGTTCATTTCCGACTATTTTATGGAGTCAAGTATGCAGACTAACTTAAGAAAGATCATTTTCAAAAGTAATTAATAATTGGTTACTTCACCTGATTAAACTAAAGAAATTCAACCGACTGGTCTGCCCCCTCATTTCTTTTAATCACTCAAGAGCATTTCACACGTTTGACCAGATCAAATTATTACGGTGATCTAATGGTTGAGTTTTACCTTTAATAATTTAGAGGTTTTATGTTTAATATTTTTGACACTCCAACTCAAGCTATAATAACCAACAGTTGAACTCGATAAAATAATCGGTGTAAACTTGAACACCCTATTATAAAAAAATATGTATATTTTATAAGGTCTGATTATGATTACGGTTATGGTATTGAAATATCATTTTCTAGTATCATATTATTACTTTTCATTTAATGAAAAAGTGTCACATGTATTTTTTTTGTGTTTTATTGTTTTGATTATTATTTTTTTCGATCAATAATTATAAATTATTTAAATCAAATCAATGGCTCCGAATTAAATTCCGGTGTGACAACTATGCAGTACCGTAGCCTTATCCCGTTTCGTAAAATGGTCTCTTCCTTCAAAATTCATTTTTCTAACTGTTGAAACTAGCTTGATGCCGTGCCCTAAAAGTTAGAGTTTGTTTTTTTTATTATCTCTTTGTGGGTTTATTTTTTGTGAAAATTGGGGTTAAGTCCTTCTTAATTAACTTATAATGACTTAAATCCGTGAAAGAAACTCAATTTTTTTATCTTACTATGAAGTACTTAAGTCTACTATTTTTTAAAATTCCAAAAATACCCTTAATAGTGTTATTCTGTTTAATTATAGAAATTTTAAAAACTTTCAAAGTAACTTTAAATTAATTTTTTAAATTAAAAATTATTATCCCTTAATTTACTCCTAAATTGAAATTGAAATTTATATTCTCTCTCTCTTGCTAGAAGAAGATTATCACTCTAGTACAACAAATCTTTCTCTTTAGATATCGTTTTCTTCATCCATAGCAGTAAGATTTGAAATTACGTTTTGGTCATCATGAACTTCTAAGTCGTTAGTTTTCAGGAAAAAAATGTTGAAAATTTTTTTCAATGTATTATTAGTTTGATCCCCAATTTTATTTTTATTTTTTTGAAAAATAATCCCCAAATTTCAAATTTTTTCAAAATTTCATGTTATTACGTTTTTTGTTGACCATGTTACTATTTTTTGTAATTGAACATGTTACTATTTTTCTCTAATTGATCATGTTACTGTTTTTTATTGAGCATGTTATTACTTTTTTAGTGTTACTTTTTTGGATCCTGAAGAATTGGAGGTTTCTTTCTCTGGTGAGTTTAAATACTACTATTTTTAATTTTAATTTTGTTCAATGTTTCATATTGTTATTTTTTTTTTGTTCAACATGTTAATGTTTTTATTGAACATGTTATTATTATTATTATTTAAAAATATTTATATTGAATGTTACTATTTTTTTTTGTTTAAATGTTATTATTTTTTTGTGTTTAAATAGTATTATTTTTTGTATTTAAATAATAACTTTTTTTTATATTTGAATATTTCTATTTTTTATTTTTAATGTTACTATATATGAGAGACATATGGTCCTAACCTATATATAGATATAGAAAAATATGAGAGAAATATTTTTAATATTAATCAAACTCCTAAAATTTAGCTTTTAATTTTTAGTTTTACTTAATTTCTAAAAGGAATGAATAGTCTGATAAAATTGATAAAAAAACGGACTTCATAACAAATATGTTTTATATATATATTCAAATCAGTGCATACAAGAAACCGGCCTTCAAATTTTCCTTACTTTTTTCGTCCTAGTCTAATGGTATGTTCAGTATTACATATAAGCATGTTACATATATATCATTTACATATAACATGCATATTGATTACTTCTACCAAACAGTTATTAAGTTGGCGTTTACGATGAGTTAAGAAGAGCCATTTTTTGGGTAAATTACACTTTATCCTCTCAAATTATTACTCTTATTTCACTTTATACCCTTAACTAAATTTTTTTTACATTACATCTTAAAATATGAATTTTATTTTATATCACTCCAATTAATAAAAAATGTCAATTTTTTGACAATAAATACGCATATGAGTGGTCTGTACTACCGATAAGCAACTGTCTATTGCATATATACAGGTTAAAATTTAAGAAAAATATATATTCATGACTTTATTATTCCAAAGCTCCAAATTTTTTTCCTTTGGCCGACCTTATTTTTCTTCTCAATAACTATTTAATTACAAAAGAAGTAAAATAAAGTGGTATTAGGAACTTGGTAGGAAACTTTTTGGAGTTTTCCTCTCTCTTTCGAAAAATTTTCAAATTTGTCGTCATTTATTGGAGTGATATGAAATAAAATTGATACTTTATGGTGTAATATAAAAAAACTTATAATTAAAAATGAAATAAGAGTAATAGTTTATGAGGTAAAATATAATTTAATCTATTTTTTTTGANTTCTAAGTCGTTAGTTTTCAGGAAAAAAATGTTGAAAATTTTTTTCAATGTATTATTAGTTTGATCCCCAATTTTATTTTTATTTTTTTGAAAAATAATCCCCAAATTTCAAATTTTTTCAAAATTTCATGTTATTACGTTTTTTGTTGACCATGTTACTATTTTTTGTAATTGAACATGTTACTATTTTTCTCTAATTGATCATGTTACTGTTTTTTATTGAGCATGTTATTACTTTTTTAGTGTTACTTTTTTGGATCCTGAAGAATTGGAGGTTTCTTTCTCTGGTGAGTTTAAATACTACTATTTTTAATTTTAATTTTGTTCAATGTTTCATATTGTTATTTTTTTTTTGTTCAACATGTTAATGTTTTTATTGAACATGTTATTATTATTATTATTTAAAAATATTTATATTGAATGTTACTATTTTTTTTTGTTTAAATGTTATTATTTTTTTGTGTTTAAATAGTATTATTTTTTGTATTTAAATAATAACTTTTTTTTATATTTGAATATTTCTATTTTTTATTTTTAATGTTACTATATATGAGAGACATATGGTCCTAACCTATATATAGATATAGAAAAATATGAGAGAAATATTTTTAATATTAATCAAACTCCTAAAATTTAGCTTTTAATTTTTAGTTTTACTTAATTTCTAAAAGGAATGAATAGTCTGATAAAATTGATAAAAAAACGGACTTCATAACAAATATGTTTTATATATATATTCAAATCAGTGCATACAAGAAACCGGCCTTCAAATTTTCCTTACTTTTTTCGTCCTAGTCTAATGGTATGTTCAGTATTACATATAAGCATGTTACATATATATCATTTACATATAACATGCATATTGATTACTTCTACCAAACAGTTATTAAGTTGGCGTTTACGATGAGTTAAGAAGAGCCATTTTTTGGGTAAATTACACTTTATCCTCTCAAATTATTACTCTTATTTCACTTTATACCCTTAACTAAATTTTTTTTACATTACATCTTAAAATATGAATTTTATTTTATATCACTCCAATTAATAAAAAATGTCAATTTTTTGACAATAAATACGCATATGAGTGGTCTGTACTACCGATAAGCAACTGTCTATTGCATATATACAGGTTAAAATTTAAGAAAAATATATATTCATGACTTTATTATTCCAAAGCTCCAAATTTTTTTCCTTTGGCCGACCTTATTTTTCTTCTCAATAACTATTTAATTACAAAAGAAGTAAAATAAAGTGGTATTAGGAACTTGGTAGGAAACTTTTTGGAGTTTTCCTCTCTCTTTCGAAAAATTTTCAAATTTGTCGTCATTTATTGGAGTGATATGAAATAAAATTGATACTTTATGGTGTAATATAAAAAAACTTATAATTAAAAATGAAATAAGAGTAATAGTTTATGAGGTAAAATATAATTTAATCTATTTTTTTTGAACGGTGGTTTTAGAAGTATAAAATTATGCTTTCTTTTTTTGTCCTTTTTTTTTTTAACTTTAAGACTTGATTAAAGAATGTAATTAAATTGCCCATTGGAATATCGAATCGTGGTTATTCTTAAACTAAAACCATGAGAGATTTATCACTCATTAATATCCTAATTTTCACGTGGATGACTACTTGTTTTTGACCAGACCAAGAAGAAGATTAACTAAGGTATTTATAAATTGATCCAGACACCTTTGACCGTTAAACTAACAAACCAAAAAAATAATTAGAAGAATGTAGTACAAAAATGTGGTCTGTCATGGCTTTCTACCCCACGGCCTCATTGAGAGGAAAATCCCTCGCAATAATAGTCCTGAAATTCTGCCTTTGTAATTTGTATTCACAGGAAGGCTACGGCTACTACTCGAAAGGAGATCACTATTATGGTAAGGTGCAGATTGGCTTCGATGGAAATAGAGATACACCCCGAAAATAGGAACATTATTTAGCTATGGCAGATCTCAAATTTTTAGGTATCACTTGTGTGATAATCTCACATCGTGTAGAAAAAAAAAGTAAGTGTGGTTTAATAGTATGTATAAACTCACTATTTATATACTCAAGCTTTTGGATAGACATGAATTCTAAACATTTATATTAAATGCCAATGACTGATGATCCTAAATGAAGTCTCTGGCTCTGAGCAATATAGCATGCCTAAATTGATGATGGATCTTAAGAAGATTGAGATGAGCTCTTGAAGTTGGAGTCGTGATAATGTCCTGTATGCAGTTTAGGATAAGATGTGGACTAAGACGCAGACTCTTGATAGAGGAAATGTGATGATTTATAAGCACAAATAAAATTTCTTGATTCTTAAAAGTGTGAATTCTTGTAATAAGTGGGTTTTGCCTTGATAGAATGGTGAAGCGATTAACCACTAAATTCCCTCTAGAGTGTGACAAGACGCAAAAGTCGAGACATGGACTCTTAATAGAGCAAGTGTTATTATTGATGAGAGTGGGTAAAATATCTTGGTTCTTAAAAGATAATGAGCCTTTACAAAAAGTGATTAGAACGACTATTGTACAAAGTGGTGGATCAGATTCAAAGAAGCCTGTTGGATATCACATCTTTGAAAATTTTACTTTAAATAGGAAAAAGAAATAGAAGTGTATATATATATATGGAGTGAAGGTTTAAGCCAACTTCTAGATCTTCCTTCCGAAACCCTTTCTATGTCCAATGTTTCATACAAGTTGATACAAAAACGGTGTCCATTGGATTTTCATGTGAGCTGCATGTTATATCTTGAAACCAAAGCCACCGTCCATAAATTCCAAAGCAAGCTCATTTCTTGCATTTAATAGATTTGAAGAAGCAAGCAAAGTAGTTGACCAACAAATTAAGAGTTAAACATGGTTTCTTCGGATTCGTAATGTTTTATATACTTCTTCTTTTTGATCATCCTTCAGCTCTTTCTAAAACGTTTCATACTTATCGAATATTGATACCCAATTTTTTCTTTTTCTTTTCCATTAGTAAAGGCATTGATGGAGAAAACAAGAAGTATGAAGAAGATTCGGCCTCCAACTTATGGGAATCTTATTACAATTCTCAGTATTGATGGAGGAGGAGTTAAAGGGATCATCCCTGGAGTTATCCTCTCATACTTAGAATCACAACTTCAGGTAACATTTCATTTCATTGGAACTAATTGTATGATCAATAGCCACTTTGTATGTATTTATTACGAATCAACATGCATGGCTTAATCACTAGGTTTGTCAGGAGCTTAAAATCTATGTTATGGAAGTGCAGGAGCTAGATGGTCCAGACTCGAGGCTCGCAGATTATTTTGATGTGATTGCAGGAACGAGCACAGGTGGTCTCATAACGGCCATGGTGACTGCACCAAATGAAAACAATCGACCTTTATATGCTGCAAATGAAATAGTTCCTTTTTATTTTCAGCACTCGACTAATATTTTCCCCCAAACAAGGTAAAAAAACGACAAAAAAACAAAATTTTTGTATGTGTTTGAGGTCTGTTAACACGAATAAATATTAATATAAGGTTATCACGGTAACGTGATATCACTATTTAATAAGAAACAATCAAGAACAATGTTATTGGGACATAATTTATGAATATAATGAGTATAATCATTAGATTATCGATATCTACTATCAATTTAGAGATCACAATTTATTTTGTCCCTAAATTATTTTCTTAAATTATGTCATAATAGCATTACTGAACAATCAAACATAAAAAGTTAACCATACTTCTTTGCATGTTACATTTAAGAGAGGTAGTAAATTGGGAGAGATTTGCTTACTTATTTATTAATTTTTTATTAGATTGTAACAGTGACGACATGGTGGTACCGTTATTGAATATTTACACTGTTATTTATGGTTATGTAACATAGAAAAGTTTTGTTTTCCTTTGAATCTTCAAAATCATCACAGAGGACCACTTGCCGGGATCATAAAGTTATTCAAGTCTTTAACTGGACCTCAATATAATGGGAAGTTTCTTCACAAGCTGCTAAGGGGCACACTAAGGTGCACAAGGTTGCACCAGACTTTGACTAATGTTGTTATTCCAGCTTTTGACATCAAACATCTCCATCCTACTATCTTTAGCTCATACGAGGTGCTCTCTCTCTCTCTCCCTCCCTCCCCACATCCACACCCACACACATACACACACAGGAAATATTTGTGTTACTTATAGAAGACTTTGTCATGCAGGTGACGAGCAACCCTCTCAAGGACGCTATGCTATCAGACATATGCATCGGCACGTCGGCTGCGCCAATTTTTTTTCCTGCCTATTATTTCAAGAACACAGATGCACAAGGGAATGAAAGTGAATTCAACCTCATTGATGGTGGTGTGGCTGCTAGTAACCCGGTAGCTTATTCCTTTAATGGACAACATCTCAATTGAGATCGTGTCCATTACTTGTTTTTTTAATTTCAGTCGAATTATATATCACTTATCATCGATTCAGTTGGGACCCACTATTTGTTAATGGGCTCCTCATCTATATAACTAATTACCCGAATGACTCATGTTATTCTGTATGCATATAATTCCAGACTTTGGTTGCCATCAGCGAAGTAACCAAACAAGTGCTGAAGGAGAACCCAGACTTGTTTCCAATCAAGCCCTTGGACTATGGTCGTTACTTGGTGATCTCAATTGGAACGGGCACCACAAAAGATGAACAGAGATACAATGCAAAAATGGCTTCCAAGTGGGGACTTCTAAGCTGGTCTTTTAAAGGTGGATCACCTCCATTAGTAGATGCTTTTAATGAAGCAAGTGCTGATATGGTTGATTTCCACAACTGTGTGGTTTTTGAGGCACTTCGTTCACAAGATAACTATCTTCGAATCCAAGTAAGCTTCAAGCCGAATCTCTTTTTCTGCTGATGGGATCTCTGAGTTTTTTGAATATATATTGTACGATATATATATATCATATATCATATATTACTCTAGCACTTTTAGTTTTCATGAAATAATAGGTTGGCTGTTGATACATAGTATAAGAATCCTATGAGTTTTCTGTTGAGACTTATTTATATGTTTGAGTGAATAATTGAAATTAGTTAATAGTTGTTACTATTTGAAAAGGCTATTATTCGAATAGTTGTGGTCCTTAGGGAGAAAGACACTATTTAAAGAGTTATTATTATTGGAAAAAAACACCTGTTTAGAAAAGTCATTCTTTTAAAGAGTTGTGGCTTTTGGAAAAGACCATGAAACAGGTCTACAAATAAAGTCCTAGACTTCATTCAGAAATCACATTTAGTTCTCTACAACTGATCTCTTCTCCTCTCTCTCTCTTCCAGAATAAAAAATTGTACAATGAAATTCTTTCAAAGTTTTTTAATTTTGCTAATTGTACTTCTTTACTCAATATGTTTTGTCCGGGATGACTTTGCATGTGANGTGACGAGCAACCCTCTCAAGGACGCTATGCTATCAGACATATGCATCGGCACGTCGGCTGCGCCAATTTTTTTTCCTGCCTATTATTTCAAGAACACAGATGCACAAGGGAATGAAAGTGAATTCAACCTCATTGATGGTGGTGTGGCTGCTAGTAACCCGGTAGCTTATTCCTTTAATGGACAACATCTCAATTGAGATCGTGTCCATTACTTGTTTTTTTAATTTCAGTCGAATTATATATCACTTATCATCGATTCAGTTGGGACCCACTATTTGTTAATGGGCTCCTCATCTATATAACTAATTACCCGAATGACTCATGTTATTCTGTATGCATATAATTCCAGACTTTGGTTGCCATCAGCGAAGTAACCAAACAAGTGCTGAAGGAGAACCCAGACTTGTTTCCAATCAAGCCCTTGGACTATGGTCGTTACTTGGTGATCTCAATTGGAACGGGCACCACAAAAGATGAACAGAGATACAATGCAAAAATGGCTTCCAAGTGGGGACTTCTAAGCTGGTCTTTTAAAGGTGGATCACCTCCATTAGTAGATGCTTTTAATGAAGCAAGTGCTGATATGGTTGATTTCCACAACTGTGTGGTTTTTGAGGCACTTCGTTCACAAGATAACTATCTTCGAATCCAAGTAAGCTTCAAGCCGAATCTCTTTTTCTGCTGATGGGATCTCTGAGTTTTTTGAATATATATTGTACGATATATATATATCATATATCATATATTACTCTAGCACTTTTAGTTTTCATGAAATAATAGGTTGGCTGTTGATACATAGTATAAGAATCCTATGAGTTTTCTGTTGAGACTTATTTATATGTTTGAGTGAATAATTGAAATTAGTTAATAGTTGTTACTATTTGAAAAGGCTATTATTCGAATAGTTGTGGTCCTTAGGGAGAAAGACACTATTTAAAGAGTTATTATTATTGGAAAAAAACACCTGTTTAGAAAAGTCATTCTTTTAAAGAGTTGTGGCTTTTGGAAAAGACCATGAAACAGGTCTACAAATAAAGTCCTAGACTTCATTCAGAAATCACATTTAGTTCTCTACAACTGATCTCTTCTCCTCTCTCTCTCTTCCAGAATAAAAAATTGTACAATGAAATTCTTTCAAAGTTTTTTAATTTTGCTAATTGTACTTCTTTACTCAATATGTTTTGTCCGGGATGACTTTGCATGTGACTCTATTTTTGTTTATTTTTTGTACTTAATCGAGTCAAATAAATGAGATATTGCCATCTCTCATTACACATATAGATCACAAGTTATTTATACCTCATCTCCCAAAAAAGAAATTCAAATTCAATTTTGGTATACCTTAAAGCACACCAATGTGAAATACTTTACATAGGCATTTGTATAAATTTTAAGACACACTTATAGAATTGGCTAAGTTTTATTATTAACTACAAAACTTGCAGGATGACACCTTAACCGGGACTGTATCCTCTATAGATGTGTCTACAAAAGAGAATCTGGAAAATCTTGTAAAAGTTGGTGAAGAACTATTGAAGAAACCAATCTCTCGTGTGAATCTAGACACCGGTCGGTATGAACCAGTTGAAAATGGTGGAACCAATATGGAAGGACTCAACAAGTATAAATAATCCTTTGTATTTCATACATTTTAGCTCTTAAATCTTGTAATTAGGGACTTAATGCCCACCTCTACTAATTATAGTTTTCTTATGCTTTTCCAGGTTTGCAAGATTACTTTCAGATGAAAGGAAACTTCGGGAGTCAAAATATATTGACATCCACCAACTTAAAATCAATTGACAATATCTTTACATTTCTACCTCAATTTCTGTAATGGAAGAAATATGACTATGTACAAATGGGTATTATTATTTTTATTACGAATTTTAGATTTCAACAACGTAAAAACTCAATTGAACTATCGTTTTTCTTTCTTTTTATTGAATTTTCCTCCATTCCTATTGAGCTGTTTTCTCTGATACTTGGTATCATTTGGGAATGAGAGTTTGTCCAGTTCTGAAGTGATGTGTGAAATGGCACCAGAATCAGCAAGCCATATCACGAGTTGTGTTGTAAGAGACAATCATGGCAGCAATAGTGAGCTTGGGTGAGGGACCATGACTTTGATAAGAATAATCCATTCTGTAATAATAGTCAATTGCACCACGTATAATTTGACATGACTGTTACATGAATCTGAAAAGGATAAGATTTGTTAACATGAGTAAATGCTTAGGTATTAGTGTGAAAATGAATAACTCGGGATGAAACACAACAAACTCTTTTAAACGGATTGTATGAAAAAATGATTGATTTAATTTGTTTTTCTTTATTTCTTGATATGATATTATACCAATTATTAAAAAATCAGTCAGTTTATGATCTAGTTTTGCTAAGATGTCGATCATGTAGATTTTTAATTTATAAGAGACCTATACAGATTGGATTAAGAGGAAAAAAGTTCTAGACTTGGAGTGTTTAATGCACAAGCTAGACATATTGTCTTCATTATGACACGAAAATTGCACGATCCAACACGAATCAAATTAACATTCCTAATTCACAAGCAGAATTATTGGAGTTGGATGTAAAACTTGATGAGCTTCAAAAAATAAGAGTGAGTACATGCTCCTCGTCTCGCGAAAATCTTTTCAAAATTTTCTTCAAGCCTATGTTCTTTAGGAGACATCGAACTTTCATATATTTATAATTAACTTGTTTGGGTTTAATATCAAGGAATTCTAATGGTAAACATACGGGTTAACCTGTAAAATGAATGAGTATAAACTAATCCTGCTAAACACGATACAAATTTACTAAACATGGCTTATACACGGGACGAATCCAATATGAGATAAAAGCAATTACACCCGGTTATAAATAAGTCAAGCATGAGCTAAATAAATTTTGACACAGTACAATTTAAACATGACGTAGATCTAGTTTATGCCGGGGCCACTAACTTGTGGTAATATGCCTACGATCGAACACCACCATGTCAAGATCCAAATTTCTTTCCTATAATGGCCCAGCCCCCTAATAATATCGTTCTAATTAATACTCCCCAAACTATTATCCTGACTAAAGGTATTAGAGAAAATAAATTCTTTCCAAAAATTAATAATTATATCTTAAGAATGTTGTTCACGTCATTTTGTCGACTCAGGCAGGAACTGCATAAATGCAATTTAGGTTTGGTCCATGTACAAAACCTATAGGAGATAATGTTATACATTTCATTTGACCTTTCACATTTCTTATCTTGCTGTTTTTAAAATTTGTATATACCTAACATTCTCCATTTATATAGTATTAAGATTCTCTCAACTACGAAGTTAGCTGGTGCCAAAGTCCAGAATTAATTTCTCATGTATCTCGTAGAGAATTCTTTTGTATTCTTCTTTCAGACTTCTCTTCACCTTTCGTAGATGCTTTTTCTTTTGCTATAGATGATTGTTCACAATTTATAAGAGCTAGGTTATTCATGACAATAGTGATTCATCGAAGTATAACATAAAAAAGTCGATATAGTCAGCATTCAACTATCAATAGAAATTACAAATTTCATTTAGGTCGTGATCTGAATTTTAAGCGAGGAAAATCAAATTAACACACAATCTTAGACCAATTGCAAAATTACTGCAAGCCTAGGGCGCTAGAGAGATGGCATATTTTTATAAGCCAATTATATTAATCTAGCATTTTCACAATTTCAACTTAACTTTGTGATTTCCCACAAGTTAACCTGACCTATTCCAACTGGTATGTATAATTTTTTATAAAGGAAGGGCGGGCCTGGGCTTTTCCAACCTGCTTCTGAAGAGCTAGGCAGGGAATTGTTAAGCACGAAGCTAGGCACACCACGAGAAGAACTAGGCAATGAAACCAGAAGAAGGCGATCGCCAACATCGACTCAATCAAACAACTCAGCTAGGTCAACTTTCAGTAAAAGAAAAGAAAATGAGAGAGAATATATTTGCATGCATGTATTTAGTTAGAATGAAAAACTTGTAAGAAAATTTTAAAAAAAATTCATTCTATTGTTTTAAAGAAAATTTGTTTAATTGTCTATCTGACCCTTAATTATATATATTATAATTAAATTACCCTTGATTATATTAAATCAGTTTTAGCTTTGTTGAGGACTTTTAGTTCCCTAGTTAGTGCTGTTTTCCAATTTGATATCCATATGTTGGAAAGGATAAGAGATAACTCTGGGCAAAGGAGTCAAGTATGAGCAGTAGCCTGCACATTCACGTGGGAATAAAAAATTTTCCATTAATTTTGCAAGAAATCGAAAGCGTCCTATACAAGAAAATTTAATGGGCATCACGATCTCACTTTCTTGTAATTTCTTCCTTTTTCTTGCTAAACAAACAAGAAAAAAGTTCTATTTTGTTTTTCCCTTTCTTGTGTTTTCCAACATTTACTTGCTAACCAAACGAATCCTAGATTTATGGCTTAGATTATGGGTTGAAAATTTCTAATTTAAGAAAATTAAATTTTGCCTAATCACCTTTGACACATCAATCGTCATGTCATTTGGTCTCTTAGTTTGGTCTGTTTATTTGATTAGTGTAGCATTACACTAAAAATTAAAAACTGATCATACAAAGTAAACTGTCAAAAAAACGTGCAGGTCCAGGTGTTAAAGTTGACCCTATACAACTGGGTGTGGGTATCTAGCGCAAAGGCTCTTGAAAGAGTAGAAGTCCAATATGGTTAATGTGCGTGTATAATCTTACACAATATAAACACGAGAACAGATCTCTTTCATGGTGAACACCAGTCAGTCAATCGAATGATCAATCTTGCTAGGCGAAACAGATTGTGAGAATCGGTGGTAGCCTGGAACGGTAATGGATGACTTTTGTGGGTCACCAGGGTGGTCCTGTAAGGTTAGGAAAGATTCCTGGAACAGAGAAAAACGAGTTAGGAGGGCGCCGGAGTATTTTTCGGCGTATCCCCTCCGACAATCAAATCAGTTCTTTGAGAGAGGGGAAGAAAAAAACATTGTGTGTAGGTTTGAGAAAAAAGTTTTTTCGTACGTCCTCATGCGTTTTGTGAAGAGTATTTATACTTTAAAAAATCATGATTGCTGTCAGTATGGTCAGTAAGTGATCATTAGAGGCAGATAACGTGCACACTGATTTTTAGGAGAAATGACCTCTTCCTTAACTGCTCGGGACCTCGAGCAACCAATGCATCACCCTCGATTTGTTGAGCGTTTAATGACCTTCACTCGGTTGGAATATATTAAATGCTCTGTCAGAGGATCATTCCTTGTCTTTCACTTCTAGGTCTTCATGCATTAAATGTTGTCTCCTCAAGAGAAATGTGCATTAAATACTTGTTTTCTCAAATCGTGTGTCAGCAAGGACATTCTGATTTCTTCGCCTCTGATCTGACTCAGTATGCCACGTCTCAGCTCTCCTTTGGTTGAGTCTTCTGTTTTCCTGTGCGTCATGACACCATCTAGGTAAGACCAGGTCATGATGGCTAATCTAGTCTAGCTTCAGGCTGATGACCTGTCTATCAATAGCCTTGCAGGAACAAGAACACCGACGTAGTTGGTACACATCGGTTCCAAGGGCCTAGTACGATTAGGCCGATGTACCCACCCATTCGACCGATGAATAAGTGTCGCCCGTGCATACCGGCGTTGTAGATCCTTATGCATAGTACCATCTCGGGGGAAGAGTGATCATGATCTGACGAGCACGTATCGTGATCACGACAGAAAATATTTCTTGACACCGAGTACACGTGTCGCTATCTTGGAGTGTCCGGAAAATGTCCTATCGGTTAACACCAAAGCGAGGGACTATAAAAACTACAAGTTAAGCTTTAGTTGATTTTAAGTTACATACGTATATATATAAACACTGTGTAATGGTTTACATGGTAGCCTGCAGCTGTCCACTTCACATACTCCTCAAAAATCTTCCAAGCAAGTTTCAAACCAAAGCCATGGTCCATGAGTTTCACATCATACCCATTATTTGGTAATTGCTTCCACATGTTTTCAAAACACAAACCAAATCATGTTGACCAACGACTTGGTTGAACACGTGTAGTTTCTTCCACCTCCAATTATGTTGTATATATCTATATATAGTCCTTGTTTTGATAATTTCTACTCATTCAGGTCTTTCACAAACATTACAAACTCTCATCTGCTTCAAAATTTGTGAATTTTCACTTTGTCAATTTTTTATTTTTCGCTTTTCCCATTATTAAAAACAGTGATGGAGAACACTACATCAAGCCTAAATATTCGGCCACCAACTTATGGGGATCTTATTACAATTCTTAGCGTCGATGGAGGAGGAATTAGAGGAATAATCCCCGGAGTTATTCTCGCATACTTAGAATCACAACTTCAGGTAATTATTATTTCAATTCATTGAACTTGTACTATCAATAAGAACTAGAAGCAAGAACTATCATTAGTTTAATCATTGGGTTCTAACATTAAAATCTACGTCGTGGTCGTGGTGTTGCAGGAGCTAGATGGTCCAGACGCAAGGCTCGCAGATTATTTTGACGTAATTGCAGGAACAAGCACGGGTGGTCTCATAACGGCCATGGTAACTGCACCAAATGAACACAATCGACCTTTATATGCTGCGAATGAAATAGTTCCTTTCTATGTTCAGCACTCTCCTAAAATTTTTCCCCAAGCCAGGTAAAAAACAAGAAAGAGCAAAATACAGTGGTTCATGATTGTAATTAAGGTGACACTATAATTTGTATAGAGATGGTTACACAACGCAACTCTTTATTTCGAATCCTCATATTCAATGATCACAGAGGACCACTTGCCGGTATCATCAAGTTATTCAAGGCTTTATTTGGACCTCAATATAATGGGAAGTATCTTCACAAGCTCACAAGGGGCATACTAAGCAGCACAAGGCTGCACCAGACTTTGACTAGCGTTGTTATTCCCACTTTCGACATCAGAAATCTCAGCCCTACTATCTTTAGCTCATACGAGGTGCTCTCTCTATCCCTCTCTCTCAAAGTGTGTGATAGTGTGTAAAAAGAACCCAGTCCATTTAGGAGTAATATTGCAGCTAGGTTTCGCTGCTAATGCCGACACTGTTTTGTTATTTGTGTTACTTTTAAGGGTTAATCATCACTGACCAACCCCAATAATAAAAATATTTTCTCTTGTAGGTGGCAATTAACCCTCTCAAGGATGCCCTACTATCAGACATATGCATCAGCACGTCAGCAGCACCGACTTATTTTCCAGCCTATTATTTTAAAAATACTGATGAAAAAGGGAATGAACGAGAATTTAACCTTGTCGACGGTGGTGTGGCTGCTAATAATCCGGTACCTTATTACTTTATTAGTAGATAGGATAGGTCCGTCTCCCAGTGTATCGTATTCTGTACAGTTGGTGACGTGTTCAAATTTGTTGAATCATACTCGGTCCATTTACAATCTTGTATTGCTGGGTTTGTGTTGTATATATATCAATTTTTACAATAGTCGTAACACGTGCCTAAAGATATGATAAAATATAAAATTCGAACATTCAAAAAATTGATCTCATTATATTAAATTTTTTCAAAATATATTAACTACAAATTAATTAAATATTAAATGATTAAATATATGATAGAAATGAGTGGTGTAATATTTTTAGAGAAGAAATATATAAATGATTAAATATGTGATAGAAATGAGTGATATAATTTGACATTTGAGTCTGACAAAGGAATAATGGGTAAGATAAGTGATTGGTGATAGTTTTAAAGGAGAAAATATGATTGGAATAAAATTCAAATACACTCTTGTTTAATTATATAGATGTTTGTATGCATCCATGACTAAACGGGTCTGACCATTTTGCTTGTCTGTCAACTCATGAGTTCACTAAAGATAAATTAAACACGCTACAGGGGTGTTTTGAATTGTCATTCCTATAACGTAGCCCTCTGAATTATCTTATTTTGTATGCATATAATTCCAGACTTTGGTTGCGATGAGCGAAGTGACCAAGCAAGTGTTCAAGGAGAACCCAGACTTCTTCCCAATCAAGCCCATGGACTATGGTCGCTTCTTAGTAATCTCAATTGGGACAGGCTCTGCAATGAATGAACACAAGTACAATTCTCAAAAGGCTTCCAAGTGGGGACTTCTAGCGTGGGTATTTAACAATGGATCGACTCCATTAGTAGATGCTTTTAATCAAGCAAGTGCAGATATGGTTGATTTCCACAACTGTGTGGTTTTTGAAGCACTTCGTTCAGAAAGTAACTATCTTCGAATCCAAGTAAGCTTAAGTACTCCATTTCTCTTGTGTTTCTCTATCTTTTAGTAGGTCTCAACCCCTAGTCGGCAAATTGAATTTTAGACTCCGAAAGATTTCAACTTCTTTATTTTGTATTTTTAAAGATTAAATTTTTTACGGTGTACCTTAAATGTATTAAAAGTGTTATAATGTTACTCTTCTATTAACTTTCGTTAGTTTTTTCATCAGTGTCAATAGGTTGACTTTTGACCAAAAAAATAACAGAAGTTCATATAATGGTCATATTACAATATTTTTGATATATTGAGAGTATAATGTAAAAAATTTAATCTTTAAAGGTATTTAGAATGCAAAGTGTGAAAAACCCACCCCTAAATTTGTGCAATTGAATTGTTCATTTATTATGGAATACGTTTGCTGGAGGATGAAAATGTTCGAGGTTAGGAATCCAGTCCTTTTCCNAATCTCTCTCGTGAAAGATAAGACTGTTCACATATTAGTGAAGTCTGAAATTTTATAATGATGAGAGTCTAATACATTAAATCATCTTTATTTTATCTCAATTAATTTAGTTATTATGTGGCGTTTGGTTAACATGAACAACAATTAGAAACCCAAGCATATGTGTGTCTCTCTTAACCAAACTGATCACAATCAATGGATTATCCATACTTTAAAAATTCGCCCCATCTAGATACTAATACTGTCAAAAAAAAAAAAAAAATTTATCTTATTATGTGAAATTAATGAATTATTAGCTCAGAAAATAATTTGTAAAAAAAGTTAGAGGCTTTCTATATCAAATGTGTATGTCATGTCAAAATCAAGTAATGCACTTTTGACAATATATCTGATTTATTATTCGTATTTATAAGTCATATCAATTTTTAACTTATAATGAAAACTATTCAATTCTAATTTACTTACAATTCTAATTTACTTATTTCATGCCGGGTTTCTACTGTTTAAAAACTATTGCACTCCTTAGCAACACCCTCTCCCCCCCCCCCCCCCCCCCCCCCCCCCCCCCCCTTCATGATTCCATGTCCAACAAAAAAATATTTTTAAAAAAAAAAAAAGGAAAAAGCAACTAAAAATAGAATGGTTAAGGGTAGAAAAAAAAAAGGAAAGAAAAAGTGCATATTTATATTCCTAGATGCGTGGGTAAAACTTTGTGCACTAAATTTGAAGCAATGCTGTAGGGGTTTGATTTAATGATCTAAGCAAATTCAGATAGTGATGAGCCCGAATCTGACTGGATCAGGCTCAATAAATCAATTGAGCCCAAGTCAGCTAAAAGGCAATCCAAGCTCACTTTATCGATCCGATCCAGTCCAAGATCCAAGTAGTCGGAGAAGATAGGAGCACGTGGGAGAGAGAATATCTGGATATGTACTCATGAAAATCAATCATACCTCACGTCACCGCCTCACCGAACCTATATATTGTAAGCTCTCTCCACATAGGGAGACACCTCACAACATCTCTCCCAACACATCTCTCTACACCTATACATATAGCTTCTCTCTCCTAGTTATTGTAACTTTCCCGGAGCTCTCTCCCGGTTACTTTATTTATCAATAAAGACCTCCAACTACCGTTGTTGCTTTCCGAGAGTGGTGTAGATCATTTGAACCGAACTACTATATATCTGTGTGTTTGTTTATATTTATTGTTTTTCCATCAATTGCTTTATTTATTGTCTAATAATTATACCTCTTCATATACTCAAATGTTAATCTTGCACGAGACAATTTTGTGCATCATCAAATAGAATTTTCTTAAATTTGTCTGTCAAGAGTTATGCACCAAACGATGTGGCAGAATCTTATTCAGTGTCGAATAGTGGGACTTATAAATCTAACAACCCGCGTTGATTTGGTGTGTGTAAAATTACTCAGTGCAAACTTGATAAATGTTGTTGTAGGATGACACATTAAGCGGGAACCTATCCTCTGTGGACGTATCTACAAAAAAGAATATGCAAGATCTTGTGACAGTTGGTGAAGAGCTGTTGGAGAAACAGGTGTCTCGTATCAATGTGGACACCGGCCTATACGAACCAGTTGAAAATGGTGGAACCAATATGGAAGCTCTCAAAAAGTAAAAATCTTTTGTATTTCATTGCTTTTAATTCTTAATTTTTTAAACTATGTTGGGTCTTAGTGCTCACTGTGTACTAATACTATTTTTCTTTTTCTTGCAGGTTTGCAAAATTACTTTCAGATGAAAGAAAACTCAGGGAGTCGAAATATATGGATGCTCATCAAAAACTTTAAATGAGTTGGGATTATTGCTTCATCTTTAAATTCAACTTGATCTTTACAGTTTTAGGGCAGACGGAACTCGGTTATGGTCTAGAGGTCTTTGTTTGCTTTGATTTCAAAATCCCAAATTTTCTTGTGAATGTTATGTAATTTTTTCCCTAGACTTTTGGCATTTTTCTATTTGGCACCCTTTTTTTTTGGTTTCTAGTTCTGTCACTATTTATAATGAATTAATATATGTACCAATCCATCATGATTAGTATTATTATTTGCTTACCAAGTGTTGGATTTTAAATATATGTTAAATCTCAGGGGAACTTATAGAAGAGCATGTTATTTTTCTCCACCAATCTAACATGGTCCTTAGCATAAAATCAGAAAATACTGGCGTGTCAGAGCTCTCACAAGTTCCAAACTTCTAAACACGATGACCTTACTAAGATAGATCAACTTCTATAACAACGTAAAACTTTTTTTTTCGCACGATTCAATTTCTTCAACAGCCCCTATCTCATTTTCTTTTTTCATTGAAGCCAAACTTAAACCTGTGCTCCATACGTGTTTAATTCACTAGAGTAATGGCAAGTGATGGGACACGAAACAACTCTCAAATTAGAGCATGACACGTGATCTCAATCAAAAAAAGACCAAGGTGGGTGATCAATCTCAAAGAGGGAATCCAGAGGGATCATACCCTAGCAAACTCAAAGGAAAGATACGTCTCAAGCCCGAGCAATCAACGCTAGGCAAGGGTGTGAGACTCTGTACTCAATGAATTATAGAGAATGATTATTTTCATAGACAAATCATGTTAGATCGTACATCGAATAAAAAAAAATTGGATAAAGAAATGACCTTAGCTGACATGTATTTCTCGGGGCACCTGTATTTAATGCCTAGTAACATTGCAATGAGTGTTCAACACAGCTCAATAAATACCTTGTAGAAGTCATTGAATGTTGAGGGGACATGTAATTGGTGCTCGGCCTCCCAAGCAAGGTAATCATTGCAGTGCTAGGTTCTGAGGAGCCATCGCGACCATTCTCAAGCCTAGTAATTGCACGACTCGAAAAAAAAGTAACTGATGAATGATTACCCCTATATGGGCATTCTAACCGGCTTTGTGGGACCCCAAAATACTATGTCATTACCTTTGAAAATATAAATAGCCCAATGAATGGTATCTCAAATTCGCAATCTAAGCTAGGGGATAAGCTGGACACGCCTCCGCCCTCCTTTCTGACCTTGTTTGTTGTTGTAGGACATTCAGACACCCTCACCTTGGTGCCATTATCTCAAATTATAGCAAGAAATTACCTGTGTAATTTGACACCGTCTGTGGGAAATACTGAACCAAGTCTTTCCCCATACTTGTCACCATGGTTCACACACTCTCTCAAAGCAATGCGGAGTAAAATCCTCATGTGAAGAATGCCAAGAACAACCAACTTACTGCTCTGGCAGCCTCTGGATCCCTAGATTAGTCGAAGGGGATCCACCGGATCATCCAGCCAAATCCACAAGACACAAATCCAACACTCGGGGGGTAGGGGGACGACTCTTTGCCCGCAAGTTGATCGAGAAATATAATGTCAATATCATCATCAAACGTCTCAAAGAATTTGAACTATCGACTAATCAATAACATAGGTATTTGTATGCCATCTAAGTTTGTATAAATTTCAAGACACACAACTACTGACTAAATTTTATTATTAACTACAAACTTGCAGGATGATGCTTTAATTAGGAACCTCTGATCTGTGGATTTGTCCACAAAATAGAATTTGAAAAATTTTGTGAAAGTTGATGAAGATGGAAACCGGTCGGTATGAACCAGTTGAAAATGGCGGAACCAATATGGAAGCACTCAACAAGTATAAATCCTTTGTATTCCATACATTTGTGCTCTTAAATCTTGTGCTTCCTGGTTCAGATGGAAGGAAACTTCTGGAGTCAAAATATATTGACATCCACCAATTGAAAATGAGTTGACAATATCGTTCCATTTCTACCTCAATTTCTATAATGGAAGAAATATAATCAGTTATGTTTAGATTTCAACAATGTAAAAACACAAATGAACGGGTCGTTATTCTTTTTCTTTTTTATTTAGTTTTTCTCCACTCCAACTAAGCAACTATCTCTGATACTTTGNAAAAAGACCAAGGTGGGTGATCAATCTCAAAGAGGGAATCCAGAGGGATCATACCCTAGCAAACTCAAAGGAAAGATACGTCTCAAGCCCGAGCAATCAACGCTAGGCAAGGGTGTGAGACTCTGTACTCAATGAATTATAGAGAATGATTATTTTCATAGACAAATCATGTTAGATCGTACATCGAATAAAAAAAAATTGGATAAAGAAATGACCTTAGCTGACATGTATTTCTCGGGGCACCTGTATTTAATGCCTAGTAACATTGCAATGAGTGTTCAACACAGCTCAATAAATACCTTGTAGAAGTCATTGAATGTTGAGGGGACATGTAATTGGTGCTCGGCCTCCCAAGCAAGGTAATCATTGCAGTGCTAGGTTCTGAGGAGCCATCGCGACCATTCTCAAGCCTAGTAATTGCACGACTCGAAAAAAAAGTAACTGATGAATGATTACCCCTATATGGGCATTCTAACCGGCTTTGTGGGACCCCAAAATACTATGTCATTACCTTTGAAAATATAAATAGCCCAATGAATGGTATCTCAAATTCGCAATCTAAGCTAGGGGATAAGCTGGACACGCCTCCGCCCTCCTTTCTGACCTTGTTTGTTGTTGTAGGACATTCAGACACCCTCACCTTGGTGCCATTATCTCAAATTATAGCAAGAAATTACCTGTGTAATTTGACACCGTCTGTGGGAAATACTGAACCAAGTCTTTCCCCATACTTGTCACCATGGTTCACACACTCTCTCAAAGCAATGCGGAGTAAAATCCTCATGTGAAGAATGCCAAGAACAACCAACTTACTGCTCTGGCAGCCTCTGGATCCCTAGATTAGTCGAAGGGGATCCACCGGATCATCCAGCCAAATCCACAAGACACAAATCCAACACTCGGGGGGTAGGGGGACGACTCTTTGCCCGCAAGTTGATCGAGAAATATAATGTCAATATCATCATCAAACGTCTCAAAGAATTTGAACTATCGACTAATCAATAACATAGGTATTTGTATGCCATCTAAGTTTGTATAAATTTCAAGACACACAACTACTGACTAAATTTTATTATTAACTACAAACTTGCAGGATGATGCTTTAATTAGGAACCTCTGATCTGTGGATTTGTCCACAAAATAGAATTTGAAAAATTTTGTGAAAGTTGATGAAGATGGAAACCGGTCGGTATGAACCAGTTGAAAATGGCGGAACCAATATGGAAGCACTCAACAAGTATAAATCCTTTGTATTCCATACATTTGTGCTCTTAAATCTTGTGCTTCCTGGTTCAGATGGAAGGAAACTTCTGGAGTCAAAATATATTGACATCCACCAATTGAAAATGAGTTGACAATATCGTTCCATTTCTACCTCAATTTCTATAATGGAAGAAATATAATCAGTTATGTTTAGATTTCAACAATGTAAAAACACAAATGAACGGGTCGTTATTCTTTTTCTTTTTTATTTAGTTTTTCTCCACTCCAACTAAGCAACTATCTCTGATACTTTGTATCATTTGGGAATGAGAGTTTGTCCAGTTCCAAAGTGATGTGTGAACTGGCACCAGAATCAATAAGTCATATACCCGAGTTGTGTTGAGGTGTGTTGTAACAGATCACAATCATGGCACTAGTTGTGAGATAGGATGAGGGACCATGACTTTGATAAGAATAATCCTTGACCAGGAATGTGTTCGACATAACCGTAACATGAATCTGAAAATGATACAGTTTTTTCACATTGGAAGTAACCAGTTATTAGTGTAAAAATGAATAATTAGAAGTGAACACAATAAACCCTTTTAAAAGGATTGTAGGAAAAAATGATTGATTTTATATATTTTACTTTATTTCTTGATATGTTTAACTTGTGCATTTAACACTCCTAAGTCTAGAAAATTTTTCCTCTTAGCAAAACCCATATATGCCTCTAATAAATCAATAATATACATGATCGACATCTTAACAAAACTAGATCATTAACTAACTGATTTTATTACCAAGGTTCCTAAACTTGGAAGGGATGGTGAAGCGTAGGTTACAAGCAATTATATAGATACGGTGTGTTACCTATAGACGCTTCTCCAGCTCTCACAAAAATTTTATGAGATTCGTTCTCGGAGGGACAAGCAGAATTATTGGAGTTGGATATAAAACTTGATGAGCTCCAAAAAAATAAGAGTGAGTATATGCTCTTAATTTGTCTCACGAAAATTTTTTCAAATTTTTTTTCAAGCCAATCTTCTTTATGAGACATCGACCTTTCATATGTTTTTAAATGTTTCTTCCAGCATTGACCTTTTTTGCTCATTTGTGAAGGTTTTGGCCCTTCTAGCATGCTCTCATTGATGACGAGGAAAGCCATGAGTAGTTGAAGATGACACAACCTTAATCACATCATAAGAAAGATGTGGACAGCTGACATAACGGAGATCATACGTACTTTTAACGAAGATCAACTGTTCTTTCCACATCGGTTGCTTAACGACTCAAGGATTGAGTTTAAGAGGCCTTTGGCCAGTTCCACTTTTTAAGAGAAATTTGGTCAATAGGTCCCTCTCAGCCCTCTGTGTTCTTAGCTCTAAGATGTGTGGATTCTTTGTGTGTTATTTGTGTATGTCTCTGATAAAAAAAAAAAAACTGTTCTTTGTGTCAATGAATTGGTCCAATTGAATTCGGCTAAAATTTGATTACAAAAACAAAAATTCAAGCGAATAAATTAATTAGACCTGAATTTTATACTGTTATGTCTAGATTTCAATTCCATTTTCTTCAATAATCACTTAATTTCTTTATACATCTTTAATTATATAGAATTCGGCATTGAATCCCAATTGGATGGAAAATTGGC